GAAAACAAGGGAAGACAGAGGACCTGTCCCAGACTGGAGGAGATTAAGGAGGCACAGTGACTGAATGTAGTGTGGGGTCCCAGAACAGAAGAAGGACATCTGAATGAAGTCTGCGGTTTGGTAAATAGTACCATGCCCGTGTTAATTTCTTGGTTTTGTAACTATACCACAGTTAATATAAGATGCTAACATTAGGGGAAGCTGGAGGTGGACATATGAGAACTCTCTGAACTGTCTATCCCACTCTCTTTAAGTCTAAAATTGTTTCAGTACCAACATTTTACTATATGTATATTAAAATGTTTTATGTTTACATTGTTTTTATGTTATATAGTATAAATATCCTTGTTATCTTTATGTTACATGTTACATATGCATTGAAATGGAAAGATAAGTCCAGCCCATTCAGTTGGCATCATCAGATAGTGAAGTATTGCACATAAAGGAAATTTCCCCTAATACCAAGTGTTTTCTGCCTTTGACTTCCTGGTAGAATATTATCACTCTTCTCGCCTTACCGGCCCCGGGGTCGAGTTGTTTAGAGCTCGGGAGTCTGAGCTGGGTGCCGTGGTCCTCCACCTCGTGGCTTGGAGACCTCATGCCTGGTTTTCACGGGTGTGTGTTTTCTCTGCTGCTTTGCTTCCAGTGTTCTCGGGCTGTCTGCTCTCTGTTCTCATAGCTCCTGGGGACACCTTTCTTTTTCTGTAATAATGATTCCTTCTGTTTTCCTTGAATATGTTGCTTCTGCTCTTCTCTAGGATTCTATTAGCAGAAATCATCTGTTTGGGAGTACACATGCCCGGGCCTGGGCCGCTAGCTCAAGGAGGGTGGCTGGCCCACCTGCGACATGTCGCAGCCTCTGCCCCACGCGGCGGGTGGTCCCTGTTCACTTAGAGAGGTCCCGTGCGTGGTTGGGGGCCAGGGTGCTGCTGCCCGTGCTGAAACGTCCCTCTGTCATTTTCTACCTGTGACTCTGGGCAGGTCCCTTCTTTCTTTGCCTCACTTCCCGCCTGTGTCAAATGGGCTAATCATCGTGTCCACTTCCTGGGAGCTCCTGAGGGCTGAACAAACACAGACAGAAAGCTTAGAACCCAGGACTGGCCTCAGTAAGTTGTCCTTGATGCTGCCGTGCGCCCCTGTCTGCCATGCGCAACCTGGGCTTTGAGTTTGGGCAGCAAGGGATGCTTGTCCTGGTCAGAGGCCCGCTTGCTAGGTAGTCACACTCACAGGCAGGCGACACAGGCAGAGCTGGGACCTGTCTGATGTTGCTTCCTCCTCATTTCTCAGAAAAGAGGTTTCCCTGCTCCCTCCCTCAACAGTTAGGAAAAAGGACAGCTGTTGACTTAGAGATGATTTATCTTGTGAAGAAAAATAGCCTTGAAGAGAAAACCATGTTATAGCTCTGTGCCCTGTATTCTGAGCAGAATGTAGGGTGCGTGTGTTGAAACGTGTTAAATACAAATGCAGATGCACCCAAACTTGTTAGAGAAATAGTCCTAATCTTCCCTCCAGAGCGCATATCACACTGGGGGAAGGAGCAAGGGTCATCTGGGAAAATGCAGAGTTTACTCGGGGCGCTCTCAGGGTCTCTGGGATTTCCCAGGCAACAGCCAGCACACTCCTTGGCCCGTAGAGCCCTCCGCTTCAGGGACCTTAGCTGGTCTCGGTGAAGCGTCCCATGGTGCCACGTAAAGGAGCCGGAGGTGGTCATACTGCTTGGGGCACTTCAGGGTCCTGAGGCAGAGGAGAGCTCAGCGCCAGGATTACTCCTGTGTCGTCTTTGTGCCGGGAAAGGAGGCCAGCGGGAGACGGTGTGGTGGTCAGGGGCCAGGAGCCCTGCGGTCTGACCCCTGCTGTTGACAGTCACTTCTGCCCCCTAGTGTCGTTAGGAGGATTAAAGGAAATCAGGGGCATGAGACTGCAGACATGGTGGATAAGGACCTGATACCCTTCGTTGGCACGTCCTTAGCACAGAGGTGTTTCCCAGTCATGGCAGCTGGCATCATTAGAACAGTGACTTTGACCCGCCGTGCCCGCAGCGAGGCTGCCCTGCAAGTCAGTTGCTCAGACGTGTCCCCCAGAGTCCCCAGTGTCTGATTCCCCTCTTCCCGGTGAGAACTGCTCAGGGTCGGAGATGCTGGCAGCTGCTCAGGGGGAGAGACAGACCCTCAGTGTGTTGGCAGACATTTCACAGAGGTATCTTCATGCTGGGCAAGAACCGGTTTAACCCGATTAAAGTGAAGCTAGAAAATAGTTGAAGGAAAATTGCTGTGGGGACTGGGAGGGGGAACAAACCCACCCACCATCGCTTGGTGGGGCCCTCCTGGTGCACACAGGGGCTCCCACCGCAGATCGGGGACTGTCAAGGTATGAGAATGTCCCCGTCAGGGCAGACGAATTTCTCTAAGGTTTTTGTTTCATTTGCTTTAAAGTTATAATCAGTACAGGTTCCCCCTCAAGAGGGAAAGTAGCCGAGGAAGAGACAGAACAGTAGAGAGCCACGTCTTCCCAGTACAATGAAATGATCCGGATCCCTGGGGCTGCCCCTCCACAGCTGGCAGCCCCTCCACCCCCAGGGCCCCACTCCCTGGACGAAGCTGCAGTGGGTACACAGAGGGGGTGCAGTGTTCAGGTCCTGCTCTACTGCTTGATACAGGCCCTCCCTGAGCACAGTCTCCTGGGCCATTTAAGAGCATCTGGGCTCCGACAGCATCTGTCTGTGCCTTTGCGCCCTGGGTTCTTTTGCTGGCAGCCCTGCAAGACCTCACCTCCGCATTAGATCATTTTCTCCCAGCAGGTTACAGGCCACGTAGCCTGTTTGCCAAAAGGATGTAGCTTTAAGCTGCCCGTCTGTGAAGAACACTGCCCCAGGCCCCAACCCCTTTGTAACCAAGACCTTCAGAGAGGGGGTGCAGCGTCTGAGTGGTGTGGCCTCGACTCCTGTCCAAGGAATCCTTTGCAGGGGGTTGTGCCCCCTGGTATCCAATAGGTTTGGTAGTCATTTTTGCACATTTGTGGCTCTAAATGCATAAAACACTGTACATATTTAAAGCCGGGGCACCATGAGGAATTCCTAAGAAGCTGATGGCCTGTTGTTGATCCCTTTTCTTGGGACAGGGGTAGGGTGTCACTCCTTATGCATGAAATTGGATGTTTTGTCATGTAAGAGGATCATTGGCCCCACGGCGATGTGTTTTGAAGTTTAACTGAGTCAATACCAAGACGTACTTTAAAATAATTTTATTTTATGTTATTGACAATTAGCACATGTTGCCTCTGTTAATAATGCCAATTTTTAAAGAGCTACGAGCAGATTTTACCCAGATACGACTCCGGGCACAGACATGACGCTTGCTGATTGGCCAGCGATTTTGGTGTGGGTGTTTTCACTTTTTGAACGAATACGAGTGCTCACATTTAACATGTGCGTTGCATCATATTCCCAAATTGCACAACTCTTTAGAGCTTTTATTTCTTTTATTTAATGCAGTGCAGGCCTGAAATCTAACTTGGGATGTGACCTGGGTTATATCCTTGCCCTCAGGCACTAAGTGACGTTTATTTAAAATTTCTGAAGTGATATCTAGCCTTTTACAACGTAGTCCAATGATTAACGATTCTTATGCTAGGAAATTGTTTCTGAGGCCTCATGAGCCTCTCCTTCTGCAGTTGGTCCTCTCCCCTGGATGCCGTCGGTTGCTGTCTCATTAACAGTTACTACTTTCCTGGCTCACATTAATAACGGAGTACATTTATTAACGATGCACTGCGTGCTGGGGACGATGCTCGGCTGTCTACGTGTGTGCCCCTTACATCCTTACGTGTCTTCCAGAACAGCATTACCACTCTCACACGTGAGAGAACTGACGTAAGTGATTTGAACTGGACTCTCCAAACTAGTGAGAAATCGAGGAGGGGTTTGAACCCTGGTTTGTGAGAAATGAAAGCCTTGCCCTTTCTGCTATACCTGTCAGTATTTTATTTTTAATTGAAGCACAGTTGCTTTATAATATATAAATGTATAGTAATATATAAATATTATATTATATATAAACATATAGATGTACAGTATAGTGATTGACAATTTGAAAGGTTATAGTCCATTTATAGTTCCTGTAGATATTGGCTCCATTCCCTGTGTTGTACTGTCAGTATCGAGTCTTGCCTGGTCTTTTCTAGGTCAGCTAATTCCTGCAAACGTCTAAGAATAGCTAGGTTTGTAAGCAAGTTCTTCTGATGGTCCTGCCTGTTTTATAAGAACAGATCACCTTCCCAGAGAGCTCCAGAACCTTGGCTTAGTGTTAGAGTATGTGTTAGTGGCTGGTTTGTTTGCTTGACAACAACTTTATGGAGATATAATTCACATACCATAATTTACCCTCTGAAGAGTGTATATAATTTGGTGGTTTTTAGTAGATTCGCAAGATTGTACAACCATCACCATGGTCAGATTCAGAACATTTTCATCACCCCCAAAAGAAACCCCATACCTGTTAGTCACTCCTCATTCCCTTATCTCCCTCACCCCTGGCAACCACTAATCTCCTTTCCATCTCTGTGAATTTGCCTTTTCTGGATGTTTTATACAGATGGAATCACACAGCTTGTGGCCTTTTGTGTCTGGCTTCTTTCACGGAGCAGGGTTTAAAGGTTCATTCATGTTGTTGCATGTGACAGTGCCTCACTCCTTTTGACAGCTGAGTGAAACAACGTTCTGTGGATGTACCCATTGTATTGATTTATTCATTCACTGATGGACATTTGAGTTGTTTCTGCTTTTTGACTATTAGGGCACATTCACATTCAGGTCTCTGTGCGGTTATGTTTCCATTTTCACGGTGCCGGTTTGTTTTTGTCTCATCCCGAGGGGATCAGTAAGCCTCCCGTTTGGTTGGACTGTTCTGTGTGGCAGCAAATTGCAACAGCAGCGGACTGGCTGCAATCACGTGGTGAGGCCGTGTTTTCTGAGTGAGTTCCTGTGATCTGTGTTTTTCTCGTAGACCTGCCCTTCATGTGGAATCACATTTGCTCCCACATCAGAGGCCGGCGCAGAAGGCGGGGCGGTCCAGAACGGCTGCCAGGAGGAGCAGAAGAACAGCGCCAAGGTACCCGGGCTTGGTGGTCGTCTCTATCGGCGCCCGTCCTGCTGCCCCCATCTGAGGCGACATTCCTGTCCTGTCAGCCTCTCAGTTCTGAGGGGCAGCCCTCAGTGGGTGGCACCATTCCATACCTTCTAGTCCTCTGGGCTTTTAACAGACTGAGAGAGAGCAGGGTGGATGCTAACCTGGTTGGGGTTCCCAGGCGGGTGAGATGAGTCAGGGAAGGTCTGTGGGTCCAGAAGCTGGACCCAAGGGGCACTAGGATGTGGACATGGAAAGAGAAGAGGGGACCCTTAGGATGGGAGGAGGGGCGTGGGTTAGGGCTGGTGGCCAGGGCAGTGCAGAGAGGGCTCACCTGGAACCAGAACCCAGCCTGGAGGAGAGATCAGAGTAAAGATGGAACACAGAAGTCTTCAGGCAAGCTTCTGAAGGCTGATTCTCCAGGGAGGTTCGAATCCATTATCTTGCACCCTGGCATGGGCTGCCCACGGACTTGCAGGGTGCAGACTTAGTCTGCATTGCTCACAGCCAGTCACCCCTTCTTAAGCTGCAGCCCTTACAGCTCTGGATTTCCTTTCCCTGGATCCACGCTTGCACCTCCCTCGAGCCCACCAGTCCCCGGAACACGGGTTCTCTGATCATTAGACTCCAGGAGCCTCAGCTCTTCCTCAGTCTCCCCCACCTCCTTATTGGCAATTCCTAAGAAGCTCCTTTCCTGGTCCCTGGAGGCCTGGAGGTGCATTTTGAGGAGCTGGGGGATAGGGGAGAAGCAAGCGGATGGTGGAGAGGCTGAGCGCTGGGACTAGAGCAGAGATTAGAAGGTGTGGGCTGAGTTGTGCGGTGCAGCCTGGTGGGCTTCGCTGGGTGGAGTCAGGTTAGAGCTTCAGCCCACGCGTCTGCTCCCCCGTGTCTCATCCTGTTGCAGGCTTCCGGAGGGCCCAGCTCCAAGACACAGAATGGACTGCTCAGTCCTCCCCCCGAGGAGAAGCTCACCAACAGCCAGACCTCCCTGTGTGAGATCTTGCAGGAGAAGGGAAGGTGGGCAGGTGTGAGCTTGGACCAGTCGGCTCTCCTTCCGCTGAGATTCAAGAACATTCGGGAGAAAACAGATGCCCACTTTGTGGACGTCATCAAGGAGGACAGGTGAGAGCGTGGCCCTCGCACTGCAGCGAGCACGTGCGGGGGTGGGGGGGGCTCCCAACTGTGCTGAGTTGCCTCATCTCCCACGCCCTCCATCGTCCATGTGTTGCTATATTTGATGTCATTAGAAACGTGCAGAAAAGTTGTGTGAATAATACAAAGAATTCCTTTTATACCCTTTGCCCAATTTGCCGACTTTTAACATTTTGACATTTGTTTTACTCTCCTCTCTCTCCCTCTTTCTCTCTCTGTGAAATTTTTTTCTGAACCATTTGTCGGTAAGTTGGATGCATCATGCTCTCTACTCCTTAAAACTCTATTTCCTGAAAACAAGGAAGTTCTTTTATATAATCATAGTTACCAAATTCAGGAAGCTTAACGTTGATGAGATGTTTGATCCAGTCTACAGTCCACATTCTAGTTTTGTCGGCTGGTCCCACATGTCCCTGATAACACTTCCTCTCCCTCTGGTCCAGGACGCAGTCCAGGATCGCGTGCTGCCTTATGGGGTTCTCCTGCCTCTTGAGTCGTCCTAAATCAGGGGCAGTTCTCAGCCGTTCTTTATCTTTCATGACATTGACACTTTGAGAAATGCCCAGTTTTCTTATAAAACATTCCTGAAGCTGGATTTATGTGACATTTCCTTATGACTTTATCAAGGCCGTGTGTCTGTCCAGATCCCACAAAACTGATGCGTCTTCTCAGGCACCAGATCCAGAGGCACACAGTGCCTGTTTGTCCTTCATCAGGGATGGTGACTTTGATCAACCAGGCGAGAGTGTTGCTGACTTCTCCAATCTGTAGTCACTGCTTTCTCCCTGTGACCAGTAAGCAGTCTATGGGAAGATACTTTAAGATCGTGTAAATATCCCATTCCTCATCAGACTTCCCTAGGTTTTTTCTCCATTGATGATTCTTTCCTGAAACAGTCTTCACTATTTTTGTCAAAATGGCTGTTTTCCTGCTTCAGCACTGACTGCGTATTTATCATTGGGCACCTGGCATCCCCTAGTAAATAAGAGCTCCTCCCCATTTATTACATTATCTATCTGTCTGTGGCTATATGAATCCATCAATTCTCAGAGTCCTGTTTTACTTAACAGGATATAATCTATCACTGTCCTCATTACAGTTTGATGCCCTAGTTGTCCCAAATCTGGCCATTGGGGGGCCCCCCTTCAGGCTGGCTCCTGTGTCCTTTTGACATGGCTCCATCTTTGTTTTCAGCGATTTCTTACTTCCCAGCACAACAGGATATTCCAGGCTCATTTTATATTCTCCCTGCCCCAGCTAAGGAATCAGCTGTTCCTCCAAAGAGCCTTGGCACCTTTTAGTCAAGAATGGTATTTAGGCATGTTAGTTATTAATGTCTGCTTTAATGTCATTGTGGTCAAAGACATACACTATGTGATTTCAGTCATTTTACATTTATTGAAACTTGTTCTGTGGCCTCACATGTGGTCTGTTTTGGTAAACATACTATGTGCACTTGAAAAGAATGCATATTCTGCATTCTTAGAATGTTGTGATCCATAAACCTCAATTAGCTCCAGGCAGTTGGCAGTCGTGTTCAGATCATCTGTCTCTTTACTTACTTTTTTTGTCTGTTGTTCTATCAGTTATTGAGATAGGGATGCTAAAATCTCCAGCTATGGTTGTGGAACTGTCTATGTCTCTCTAGTCATGACAATTTTTCTTTCAGGTATTTTGAAACTCTTTTTTATGTACATACACATTTATGAGTATTACATATTCCAGGTGAATTAATCCTTTTATCATTTTGAAATGTCCCTCTTGGTGCTTAATAATTCTCTGTCTCGAAGACTGCTTTATCTTATATTAATATAGTCACTCTAGCCTTCTTATTCTCACTGTTTGCATGTGATGTTATTTCCCATTTAAAAAAAATTCTAACCTGGGTCTTTATATTTGAAATACATCTCTTGTGGGTCTTGGTTTTTAAATCATTCTGATAATCTCTGCCTTTTAATTATATTTTAATGTATTTATTTGCTTTTTAGCCATATGTTTTTGCATTATTTTGTTTTTAGTGGTTGTTCTAGGCATCCTTATATTTTTATAGTCCTCTTATAGCTAATATTGTATCATCTCACTTTGAATGTAGAAATTTTATAACTGTATAGATCCATTACTCTCTTCTAATTCCTTACGCTGTAGTTGTCACATATATCACATCTACTTACATTATAAATCCCAACTTCTAATTCCAACCTCTCAGTAATCTCAGGTCGATCTCTATTGATTACTTTTCTGTTGAGGATGGATTGTGTTTCCCTGTTTCTTTGTATGTCTAGTAATTTTGGATTATGTTATGCACATTGTTGCATTGATGCTTAGAAACTCTGGATTCTGTTATATTCCTTAGAAGAGTATTGATTTTTTTGTTTGTTTTAGCAGACAGTAAACTTATCTGAACCTAAACAGCAAACTGTCTCTCCTGAGGTGGGTAGCAGTTGTTCTTTTAGCCTTAATCAGGCTGCTTGGAGTCTGCATGCACATGCGTATTTCAAGGGTCAGCCAAAGATTCAAGCAGAGCTTATATGCAGATTTTGGGGCTCCCCTTCTCTGGTTCTCTCCCTCTGGGATATCCAGCCTCATTTTCCATTTGGAGGCATGCCAAACTCTATTTTCTTGTTTCCAAACGATTAAGACTATAGCTTTTCTATCTGAGTTTTAGCCATCCTACACATGGTACTGACTAATCACTCTCTTGAGGCAAAAATGAAAAAAAAAGAAAAAAACATGAGAAATTCAGCTTGTTCTAAGTGTAGCTATCCTCCATTTTCTTACGACTTTGGTCTATTGCCAGTGCCTTCCAGGAGTGGTTTTTATATTTTATCCAGAGTTTATAGTTATCTGAGAGAGGATTGGTCCCAACAGGAGCTAATCTTTGTTCCCAGGGGAAACCTCCTGATGTTAATCTTGGTGAGCAACACAGCTGATAGCTGTGTGGATCCTGCTACTTGACTGTGAAAATGAGGCCATTGCATGCCCTCCGTATAGCTGCTTTGTTGTTTTTCCCTGTCCACACTTCCTCAGTGGAAGGGAGGATAGACAGAATTTTCTCTCTTCTGAGAATGAGAATCTAGTAAGTTACTGCACACGTAACACGAAAAGAGAGTCTCTGCTTTGCTGCAGGGAAAGAAGGGAGTATAAGTACCCTGAACCCTACTGTGTGTCTACAGGCTCATGATAGGCCCTTTACATATCTCATCTGATTTACTTCCAGTAGTTATCGTGTGAGGGAGAGAGATGCCATCCCACAGCTAGATTTACCTTCTGCAATCATGTTAACATTCACTTACATTTGTAGTAATTTTCTGCAGTATAAGAAGGATACGACTATTTGCTAGCAGTCCATAAAAGAACGGATGAGTCATGTAAAGCAGGTTTGATTTCTCTGCCATTAAAATCATTGAGCATTATCATTTTCAGGCTTCACACGCAATCTGCATATATGACAATAGCACCAAAATTATACCAACTATAAACACAATTTTGTGATAACAACCTGTTAGCATTGACAGGGGTAATTACTGTCAGTTCTCCAAGTGACAGGACAGCCGGTTCTGAATTATGTTTGCAAGGAAGCCTCCAATTCAACGTAAGAACCCTCCGTACAGGGATTGCTGGTCCTGGAGAACAAAAATGCTGCCACCTTCTTCTAATTCTGGGTGTTATATTTGTGGTGAATGGGCACTCTTCAGCGGGGGTGAAACCTAAGATGTGATTATGTTTAGAAGCAGAAAGGACTTTCCAGAGATGTGTTCTAAAAGGAGCAGTCGAGCGATGTCTATTATGTAGTGACGTTTAGTACAGCTTTTGTGACATGCTTCACAGATGGCATTCAAGTAACTAAGTGTGATTTTCTGATAAAATAAATATAATGATTGTGCTGCACACTGGTTGACTGCATTCATTGTCTCTTCTAGCCTGATGAAAGATTATTTTTTTAAGCCGCCTATTAATCAGTTCAGCTTGAACTTCCTGGATCAGGAGCTAGAGAGAGCCTACAGGACCAGCTACCAGGCAGAGGTGCGTGTCTCCTTGTAGTTTCACTGAAGATGGGTGTCATCCTCACTGAGTAGTTGCGGTTAGTCTTGTGCTGTGGCGGCCCTTCTGTTTTCCAGAGTGACGGGAAGATGAAGCCTCATTTGGTTTGCCGCAGTCTATAAGCCCCAAATTGCACCTGTCTGTGAATTTATCTCCACGAGGGAGAAAACCCCAAGTCTTTCTACAACAACCCTGTCCCTTTCCTCTGCAGTGGGTGCCTCCCCAGGCCTCCTGGAAGCCTAGCGCGGAGGGGCTGCTCCAGCCACCCCCGTTCTCTGTTCTCTTTCTGTCCTCTCCATTGGGCCGCGAGCTCCTCAAGGGCGCTGTTCCACGGCTGCCCCACACCCGGCGCAGAGCCAGGCCCAGAGCAGGCTCTTGCTGTCCCTGTTACTAGTTACCTGCTGCTGCGCCAATCCCCGCCTGCTGCTTCTATCATGAAGCCAGCTTTTACCCACCCTGAACCTGGGGCCCAGCATTCAGTGGAAGCTTCCAGTACTTGGCTTTCATGTGACTCCCCTACAGCAGCAGAGTCATTGACTCTGTCTGCCAATAACTCATCTTTCAGGCTCAGGATGTCACGTGCCTGTGAGAATTTACTGGCTTGTAATCAGTTGCTGTGTGATCTTGGGCAAGTTTCTTCACTTCTCTGTGCCTTAGCATCCTCACTATTATGTAGGGTAGCAGCAGGGAGATGGCCCACCTGAAGCACTTCTCACCCTGTACCTGGTCCAGAGGAGGCCAGTGTTTGCTGGATTATACTCCGTGTTCATTTAGCCACGTCTGTTCACGCTCCCAAACAGGTTATAAAGAATTCTCCCGTGAAGACTTTTGCCAGTCCCACCTTCAGCTCTCTCCTGGATGTGCTTCTGTCAACGACAGTGTTTCTGATTCTCTCTGTTACCTGCTTCCTGAAGTATGGGGCTGTCTCCACGCCGCCCCCGCCGGCTGCTCTGGCGGTCTTCTGTGCGGCCCTGCTGCTGGAGGTGCTATCCCTCGTGGTCTCCGTCAGGTAATGGCCCACCTGTAGGGCGGCTCGCCAGCTCCTATCCTTTAGCTCCCTCTGCTGGCGGAACAGCCAGCTGTCTCCCTCAGCACATTTCAGGGGCCGGTCCTCTTCTCCTCCCTCCCCCAGCCCACCCTCAGGCTCCTCCCTCGCAGACCCTGGCCCTCAGCACAAGTGGGCACCTCTGCAGCCCCGATGCCACCAGCGAGTCCCTGGAGCTCCCAGGTCAGACACTTAAAAAGAGAAAGTGGGAAGATAGGGAATAAGAAAGCAGGGCAGCAAACGAAAAGAGGTGGGTGGTTAGGGGACACCTGGTAGGGGGCTGCCAGCACGTCAGCAAGGCCTCTCCTCCATGGAAGAGGGAAACCATAAAACTCAGAGGAAATCACAGGCCTGGTTCTTCATGAGCTTGGACCAGGCAGGAGGTTTCTTAGAGATGACGGGAAAAGCACGTGTGACCCGAGAACAAATAGGTAAGTTGGACTTCATCAAAATTGAAAACTCTCATATTTCCAAGAACACCATCAGCACTTTTCACCCCAAAGTGAAGGAACCTACAGGCTGGAAGAGGGTATTTGCACATCACATCCATGACAAGGGTCTAAGGTTTAGAATGTGAGCTCAATAATAAAGAGACAACCCATTTAAAACTGGACAGAGTGTCTGAATAGACAGCAGGGAAGCTGGGCCCTCGGGACCCTGCACAGGGCCCCCACTCACCTGCACGCAGACCGCCTATACTGTCCACCTCCTGCTTCGGATGCCATGCGGGGTCCCTGCGCCAGATCTTCCCCACCCCCAAGCCCTGTCGCCCAGCAGGACAGCCCAGAAGCGCCCTCCCCCAACCCCATAACTGCCCCCAGACTGGGGATCAGAGAGAAACGGGGAGAAAGGCCATGTCCATGAGTTCTTGCTCCTCCCCAACATCCCAGGACAGGAGACCATAGCTTCAGGTCTGGCCCTGAGGCTTCCAAACAGAAGATCCCTCCCTTTGAAGTGGACAAGCTGGATGCCTGCCCCTTCCCATGCTCACCCCCTGGTGCCCGCTGAGATCCCTTCAGCTGCTTGCCCAGGGCTTTCTCTGGCTGCCAGAGGCTCCGCCCTCACCCTCCTCCCAGTAGAGAGAACTCTAAGGGGCAACCCGGCCATCTCCCCAAATTCCCCACTGGAATCACGCTGCCTTGCCCACAGCAGGTGGCTCCTCCATAGTACAGCCCTCTCCCTGGGCTTGCCCTGGGCCTGGCGGCACCCAAAGGGACCCAAGCAAGCTATCCTCTGGCCCCTAGTCTGTTTTTTTCTCCTTAAAACTGACTTTTTTGTGATATAGTTCACATACAATAAATTCACTCACAAGGATACAATTCAGAGATTTTTAGTAAACTCACAGAATTGTGTAAAAACACCACCATGTGATTTTTAGAACATTTCTGTCACCCCAAGGAGAGGCCAGTCCCCACGTGTGGTCCCTCCCCACCCAGCCCTGGGTTCCCGCCTGGCACAGGGCCCGCACGGGGCCCACATGGGATAAGGCTCTGGATCCCTGCAAGGCAAGAGTCGTCTCCATACTTTTCCTTTAAAACCTTTACATGACTGTTCCCTGTTCTTCAGATCCAATTTGGAAGAATCTGGCCTAAGCCAGGTGAGAGACTGCAGAGGACTGCAGGCCACACGGGTGCTTGGCCTGGCTGTGCCGGGCGCACCCACATCTCTGCAGGCCCCTTCTGAGTGAGGCCACTGTGTTCCTGCCTGGGCCCCTAGTATGATGTCAAAAGTTCACTTTCCCTGGGGTGTCAAAACCCAGGAAAGGGCAGGCTTGGCGGGTGGGGTGTGGTTTCCTCTTGCCCTGCTGAGGGCATGTTTGGGATCCCAGGTCGCTCCAGACCTACACTGTGGAACTGAAGGCGTGGACGCTGGGTGCACAGGGGACCTTGACTTTGGGACTTTGTGCCTTTGATGGTGAGGAAGCCAGGCCTGTACTGGCTCCACTCTCACAGGGGGCTGGCTTCAGAGAGGGACTATGGTGTGGGTCTCCCTCCCGAGGGGACCCCCTAGTGTCCTCTCCTCTGTCTCCCACTGCTGGCCATCCGGGGATTCTTCCTGCAGAGCAGTGGTCCTCAGCACCACACACCCAGCTCCCCATTCTCCATGAAAAGCATTTTCTGTGCCACATCACTGCCCTCGAATGTAGCCCACGTATACTCACAGTTCCCAAAGCCATCAGTGAAATGCTGTCATGCCAATGTGAAGGAGACACGTCAAGAAAGCCACTTAAAATAATACACATGTAGCGCTTCATCTCAGACATGGCAGGGCACTGCCACCTGGGAGGCTGTTTCGGGTTTGTCAGCTGTTTGCTCTCGTGCGCACGCTCGCTGGGACTGTGACATTTCCAAGTGCAGACTGTTACAGGTGTGCAGGTTTGGTGGCACAAGTCCCAGGAGCCTGTGACGTGATTTCTGAAATGCTGAACAGCCCTTGGTGATGTCCCAGACAAAACCACGGGTCCTCTTGTCTGGTTCACCCAGTAGGTGCATTCCTGGAAAATTCGGTGTATGTTACCACCACACAGAAACCACTTTCTGTTTGTAAATGACACGCAGTTAGGCTCTAGGCTGACGCCACTGTCAGCAGGTTTCCCGCTTCCGTGGGTGTCCAGGGGGCATGTGGCAGTTGCATGGGGCACAGGGCAGAGCCTCACTGTACATCACGGGACATTACCAGTCCCTAGCCCCTGCCCTCTCAATGCCAGTAGCACCCTCAATCAGTGAGGCGACAGGAAGGCCCCACAAAATTCCAGGACACCTCCTGAACCACCCACTTGAGACTGCCCACCCCAGAAGCAGGCAGTAGCGGATGACCGGTGACCTTTCTCGGGGCCTCTTGGTATTAGGCTGTCTGATTCTTACATGCTCCGTTTAGACCACAGAGGTTATGCTTGTCTCTGATGGGCACATCTCAGAATGCAGCAAGTGACCTCAAAATAAGGTGTGAAGAGCTAAATGAGTCCAGTTTACTTGCCATTGACCAAAAGTGAGGGAGGCTGGGGCTCTGCCTGCCACCCACGCCCGTGGCCACAGCGTAGGGGAGAGTTGGGAACAGCTCTGGCTGGCTGTTCCCCGCCGACATCTTCCCTGGTGGCTGACCCACCCGTAGACACCCAGTTTCCCCTTTCTCCCCACCTTATGCAGGATGGTGTTCTTCCTGGAGGATGTGATGGCTTGTACCAAGCGCCTGCTGGAGTGGATAGCCGGCTGGCTCCCACGCCATTTCATTGGGGCCATCCTGGTGTCCCTTCCCGCTCTCGCGGTCTATTCACACGTCACCTCCGAATTTGAGACAAACATACACGTAAGTAAGCCTTTGTGGTTTTGTGTCTGTGCTCTTCTGGGCTCCTTGATCACTTTTTAAAATAAAAGTAAGTTTGATGGTCTGGGATCAGTTTAAATACAGCCCTTACAGAGGTACAAACTCTTCGTTACTTCCTTGAGCTTGTCTTTTTAAAAGCCTTGCCTGGAACAGAGGAGCAGGCAGGGAGGTCAGCCTGGGGCCTGCCAGGGGAGACACCCCGGTGGCTGTGTCCTCTCCAACCTCTCTTGGTGTTTACCAAGTTCCAAATCAGTGGTTTTCTTATGCGTTTTACAAAGACACATCTGCCCCACGTTTCCAAATGACGCAAGATACTGTGCTCACCTGTAGACCCGGCACAAGCAGGTGACTGGCCCCTGGATCAGCTGCTGTTGATCAGGAAGGAACTTCCAAGTTACACCTCAAAAGGAGTGAATTAATGCTGCTGTGGAAGATTATATTTTGGGGGCCAGTGAGTGTAGCACGAACCACCAGGTGACTGCATTTGATACTTTAACACTGAATTTCATTTCCACTGACACGCAGCAGGGTGCCCGAAGGAAGGCTTTTTGAAGGTAACTGTTTCCATGGTGGGGCAGCCTCCCTCCCCTCTCCTCCAAGGTGACGTGTGCGATTTCCGCACACCTGGAGAGGCGTTTTAGTACCAGTGAGACTCGTAGCCAAATCTCTGGGTAGTTAATCTAATGATTTATGACCTGTCCTTGAAACCACCAGGTATTTTGTTAAACAGAATGACAGGTAGGTGAGGGAGCTGTTTGCTCTCGGGGTCCTCAGGAGGAGGTGAGGCGGGGGGCCCTGCGGGGCGGAGCGGGGTGGCATGGGGGCCTCACCCCGCCTGCCCTTGTTGCAGTCCACCGTGCTCACGGGCTCGGCTGTCCTGATCTCCGTGGTGCACTACTGTAACTTCTGCCAGCTCAGCTCCTGGATGAGGTCCTCCTTAGCCACCGTCGTCGGGGCCGGGCCTTTGCTGCTGCTCTATGTGTCCCTGTGCCCGGACAGGTATGTACACCCTCCCGGCCGCACCCCCTGCACCTTTCCTGACATAGCTTATGTCTCCTTCACCACGCTTTTCCTTTTCTTTCTAACTGAGCTCTAAACGACCTGTACACGTTAGTTTCAGGTGTACTACATAATGGTTTAATATTTGTGTATATTGTGAGATAATAACCGCAGTAAGTCTAGTTAACATCTGTCACCACATGAAAATTTTTTTTCCTTGTGTTGAGAGCTTTTAAGAGTTGCGCTCTCAGCAGCTTGCAAATGTGCAGTACAGTATTATTAACGGTCATCACCGTGCTGCGCGTTACCTCCCCAGGACTTGTGTATCTGATAACTGGAAGTTGGTGCCTTTTGACCAGCTTCACCCATTTCACCCACCTCCCATCCCTGCCTCTGTATCTATGAGTCTGTTTTCCATATCTATGAGTTCATGGATTTATTTATTTATTTGTTTGCCTTTAGATTCTGTGTATAAATGACATGATATGGTATTTGTCTTTCTCTGTATGATTTACTTCACTTAACATAATGCCTTCAGGGTCTGTCCATGTTGTCACAAATGGCAGGATTTCTTTTTATGGCTGAATAATGTTCCATTGTTTATATACAACATCTTCTCAATCCATCCATCCAGTGATGGGCACTCAGGTTGATCCCACAACTTGGCTACTGTAAGTAGTGCTGCAGTGAACGCAGGGGTGAAGATGTCTTTTCGAGTTACTGTTTTTGTTTCCTTCAGATATACTCCCCAAAGTGAGATTGACAGATCACACGATAGCTCTGTTTGTAATTTCTTGAGGTGCCTTCATACTGTTTTCCAGGATGGCTGCACCAATTTACATTCCCACCAACCATGCACAAGGGTTCCCTTTCCTCTACATCTTTGCCAGTATTTATTATTTCTTGTCTTTTTTCACAACACTTGTTAGAACAGGTGTGAGGTGACGTTTTATTGTGGTTTTGATTTGCTTTTCCTTAATGATTAGTGATGTTGAGCACTTTCTCATGTGCCTGTTGGTCATTTCTGTGGAAAATGTCTGTTTAGATCCTCTGCCCGTCTTTCACTCGGATTGTTGCCTTTTGCTGTGGAGTCATACCTGTCACTGCGTTTCCCCATCTGCACTCACAGCCTCAATGTCCTCAGATATTTACCGTCACAACATGAAATAGCTTTCAGCCCACATAGAGTCAACAACTCAGTGACATGCCCAAAGAATAATATGCAGCGGAAAGAAAGAGAAACTAATTTTAATACCATAATATATTTGCATGTAGACATCCTTGGGTGACCACCCCCATCACACATCATGCCGTAGTCACATGCTTGAACTCACAGTCGGTATCCACAGGGGATTGATTCCAGGACCCCGCCTCGTACACCAGAATTAGAGGATGCTCAGATTCCTTCTATAAACAGCATAGTGTTTGCGTGTAACCTACGCACGCCCTCCTGTAATACTTTACATCATCTCTAGATTACTTATGCTACCTAATGCAACGTAAATGCTGTGTAAATAACTGTCAGCATGTGGCAAATTTAAGTTTTGTTTTTTTTGAAATTTCTAGAATTTTTTCCCCTAGCATTCTCCATCAGAGATTGGTTGATCCACAGATGCAGGACCTGTGGATACAGAGGGCCAGCTGTACATACGGCAAAGAGGTTTGAATATTAGAAAGTAGGACCAGAAGCTGTTTCATAGGAGACCATAGAGAAAAAGAAGTAACAGAGGTCAGGTGACCCCAAAATGAAAAGAAGTAGCTGATTCTCACCATTTTGGAGTTGGGTGAACACACCAAGACAGATTACAGGTAGTTGAAGTAGAGAAAATGAAGAAGTCGGATAGTCCTGTGAGTGACCTGGGCCTCCTTCATAAATATCATGTCAGAACAATTCTCCACGTTATGACACGAAACGTTAGGGCAGTGGCAAATACCTGGAAGCATATCTTTTATCTTGAAATCCTTCCGCGTACTGAGGAATACGTCCCATCCCTGGTGCTCAGATGGCACTCAGAGCCCATCACTGACAGTGTGGGGAAGAAAACAGGAGCTCCATGGAAGGCTCCTGGGGACAGGATCTGTTCTTACCACTGTGTTGCAGAAAATTAAAAAATTAAAATTTGTAGGATGGCAGTGTGTGTGCTACCTTTAGAGCATCCTTTGTCCATGAAGTCCAGCAGGGCTCCCACCTTCATGTATTCTGCTGATTAAGTCACGTTTGGCTCTTAGTTTGTTAAAATGAGTCTGAAATTGCCTGTTGCACATTTGCAACTGCTTTTGTGGCTTTTAACCTTTTCAACCAAATATGTTGTTGGAAGTACAATGATAGCTTGGATAGCAGAGTGCACACAGTAAGTAATTTATTCAAAAATTTCAGGGTAATGTCTTAAAGCTATGAAGCTTTTGTTTCTGTAACCAACATCTCCTAAATATTGGACTTTTTGTGTAACTGCTTATAAAAATGTTTCATGTTAGCACATATTAGAGAACTATTTATTTATAATTACAGTAGATTTAGGCCAGCAGGATATTTCAAAGTTACATGGGACATTTCTTCATTGTGCTTGGCATGACATCTAATATTCCTGGCTCCCCAAATTATTATGACAACCAGAGAGACCCCCAACATTTCCCAAATGTCCTCTTGGGATGGTATTACTGTTGCCGAGAACCATTGCTTTAGTAAATTCAAACAGAAAATGATCCAGTTGGTCTGGATATCAAATGAAATTGCAAAAGTGTATTTTGGGTATTACCAAAGCAGTGGTCAGTAATGGACAGAGTAAGTATCCTTCCTCAGTGTAATTAATAAAATAATAATGACATGAAAGATATTCAAATTCTCTGCCAATTAAGATCAAAAGGAATTTGAAGCAGCACTGCCATTCAGCATTTGAGAGGAAACTTTAATGAATAGTTAAATGACTTTAAGCAAAACAAAGTGTCCTTTTTCCTTTCTGAAGTTGCGGCCATCTGGAATTATGGTCATTATAAAGCTCTTCCCCAAGAGCATGAAATTCAGCAATCCACCTTTTAACCTGTTAGATCCATCACAAGTGTCATCAGCTATGCCCAGTGCCATTCAGCCCTTGGTGAGGGCTGTTTCCCTGTGGATCTCGAGAGCCTTAATGATGGGGCACCTGTCCATGGGCTTCTGCCCGGAATTCCCACAGCAGATCTTGACATAGGGCAGGCGGTTGAGTTTCTCCTTGAACCAGTACACCTCTATCCACCCATCATCACTGCTATGCCCAACCAGGGGAGGGTATACGTGGGGAGAACAAAACAGAACCTCAGTTCCCTTGAAGGGGAGGGGACTCCTCCAGCTTTGGGAGGAGACAGACACGTGGGTTACAGTAGTGTCACTGTCATGTCTGGACAGGGCAAGGAGAGGACATAAAGTCTTAGAATTCACATTTTGTGTGCAGCTCTTGTTTTTCTTTCCTTCTCTGTAAAGTCATTTTACTGCCTCATGTAATTGTAAAAGCCCCTACGAGCCCTCACTGGCCTTTGCTGCAAAGGAGAGCTGCTCACAGATGCTTTGCAGGGTCCCCCTTTGTGGGGAGCAAGGCTGGTGGGTCTAGGGGACGAGCGTCAGGGCTCTTCCCCAGGTGGGGAAGTCGGTGGTCAATTTGTGGGCCCAAGTGGATGCTGGGTGTGACGTGACTCCAAAGGACTCTGTGAAGCATGTGGGGAGGAAGGTGCTGCATGTCTCGGGTACCTGCCCTAACACCGAGAGAAGGCTGTTTAATTTTGGATGGTTTCAGTGCCCTAAACCTGGGATTTGATTGCTTTGGGTGCCACCAATAGCAGAGTCCGGCTTCTCCAGTAAGTGATCTGCCAGCGCCTCCAGCAGGTCCTTTTGAAATTGATCCTTTGTCAGCAGACATTGCTGTTTGAACATGACTGAAGTTTCCAGCCTGTAGGACACCATGGATAAGACCTTAAATGAATGCCCGCGAGACTGTTTTCTTGATGTTGCTCTTTGATGGTTGTACCTACTTTCTGTAGCTGATATAAAGGCTTTTACACCGTCTTTACCATTTTGTTACTCTTCATTAACATGCAGTATCAAATTATAATTAAAATTTACTGTCCTTAACTGTCTAACTTGATCTCTATGTAAAAAAATAAAACAAAGTTTAAACTCTTCTCAGATTGCTTTGTATAATGCCTTCTTTGCTTTTTCTAACAATAGTTTTCTGCATTTTAATTTCAGTTCCATAGTAATTTCAGACCTTGCTGCAGTACAGAATTTCAGGTAAGCTTTTAACATTGTGCCTATATCTGAGTAAATGAGAGTAACTATATTATTACTGATTATTGCTAAGCTTCTTGAAAACAGTTGTATCCTGAATCAAAAGAACAATGTATGTGTTCTTAAAAGAGTAAGTGGAAAATATTTATTTCTTGAACTATTGAGTCATAGTTGTAATACCTTATTGGGAAAATGAAATGATGGTTAAGACGTGTGCAGGTTTCTCCTGCTGTCTGCAAGTGGAGTGTTCCTATGACATCTTTCCTAAACCGGGAAACGAGGAAGCAATTACCTTTGGACACAGCTTGCTACCGGATACACACAGTAAGTCGAGGTGAAGCACAGATGCTCACAGACACAGTTCAGAGCCCTGCGGCTTGATGCTGAGATGCCAAGCGTGGTTCCCGGGGACAGAGCTTGGCGGTGTGGCTCCCGCTGCTCGGGGTGATGCTGCCTCTAACCCTGGCTGCCAGACAAATGCTGGACGTTATTTTTGCTTTTCGCCTTTTTTTGGTAAAAGCAAAAGTCCTCTTCAGATTTCTTTCATTAGCAAAAACAGGTATTAATGTAGGTCTTTGGTCAAAGTTAAGTGGTGAAAAGCAAACTTTCAAAAAGCAGGGGATTCCTGTATTTGATTTGGTTTAATTTTATATAAGACATTAGCATGTCACAAAAGAAATCTCATAAATCAAAGTAAAGTGCTTATTTTATTCCCTAAAATATTTTGACCACAGTGGGAGGGAATAGCTCAGTGTTAGAGCACATGCTTAGCATGCATGAGGTCCTGGGTTCAATCCCTAGTACCCCCATTAAAAAATAATAGTAATAATTAAAACAGATAAATAAATAAACCTAATTACCTCTCCCCTGCCCCCCAAAAAGAAAAAAAATTTAAACCGTTTTAAATAACTGACTAGAAATTTGAAATAATAAATGTACCCTTGCTTTACTATAAACATCAAAATAAATTCTAAGTATATTACAGTCAAAAATTCTAAAAATTCTAAAAATCTAAAGATGTTTATAAAGCTATATAAACATCTAGAAAAAATTTAAGGAGTTCTCAAGCCTCTAAGACAGAGATAACTTTCTGATCTTACAAATAATAAATAGAACCAAATGTGCACCCCCCGCCACAAGACTGACTGAGGTATGGGGTGGGTGCGGTGGTAAAATCAGGCTGAGAAAAAGATTTATGGGACTGTTATTTAAAAAGCTAATTAAAATCTGTGTAGATGAAAGACAAAAAAACCCACAAAAGAGGAAGTGTAGTAGAAGATAAATGGTTACTACCAAAGTCATCGCACAATTACATAACTGCACAATTTTCTTTGATCTTCTGCATTGTACTTTCAAAATATTACAGTGTGAACAGTGCAGGCCAGGGTGTGGCGCATTCATAAATGATGGTGGTATTTAGTGTAGGTTCATTTAATCCACAGAATTACCTGGTTCAGTAGGTGACCATATCTCCATTTTCCAGATAAGGAAACCAAAGCCCAGAGCAGTTAAGGAACCTGCCTGTGGACACACAGCTAGTCACTGGCAGTGTTTTAAACCCTAGCCTCCTTTACTATCGGGCCATGCTTTTTCTGCCATGCCTCATTACTTTTCAGAATGGTGCAATAGTTTGGGAAAGTAATTTGACAATCTATTTTTAAAAATCATAAAAATATTCATCACCTTTAACCATTAAAGGTGGTTTTTGCTTATCTGCTGAGGAAATAATTCAGCATTTGGTTGAGGCTGCTTGACCCAAAATATTGATCAGAGTGATTGATAATATTGAAAGTTCATCAGCAACTTCAGTTGTCAATAGAAAAGAAATTAATTAATGATACATGTACCCAAATTTTGCAGCTGTTAAAATGCACAATCTGGCAATCAACTGTGGTTTTCATTTTCCATTTGTTATGTAAAGTTGCATACATCTTACAGCTACAGCTAGGTATTTCATTATATATGAGAAAAGTAAGACATGTAATACTTACAATCTAATGATGAATGATTTTTGTTTTGTTTCTTAAATTAAAAAATTAAATATCTGTGGACATTTAGATGTTGGGAAGGAGGATTAAAGTGATGATGGAAGTTATTCCACAAGTGAACACACCCATTTAACTGCTGCCCAGACCAGGAAACAGAACATCACCAGCAGTCCAGAAACCCCCTTGGTGCCTCCTCCTAGTGCGCCCCACCTGCATCCTAGGCATAGATTTTAAACAGCATTGAAATACAGCAAAATGTTAACAGATCCCACATTTAGCTGTTTAGGACCATGACTGGTCTTTGTTTTCTGTTTTTCTCTGTTATCTAATCCCTCTTTTCCATTTCAATGAATCATACTGTGTTTTACTCTAACTTCGACTTACGGTTTAATGTCCACCTGTTACGTCATGTCTTACATTTAGTCACATAAAATTCGTCCTTTTGGAACTGACCTGTTCTGTTTGAATTTAGGAGTAGTACCATCGCCTTCCTCGTTCCTTCTGCAGTAGAGTCAGAAATACGGGTTCTAGTTGGCAGTAATTCTCTCACCTGCCTGTTACAGTAATTCTCCTCTGTTGCAAGGCAGCCCTTTGGGCACCATGTGTCAGTCTGTGCATTAGGTCGCTTCCTTTGACGCAGAGGTAAAAGTAAGCAGTGCAGTTGCTTCCCTTTCCCTCTCAGACTTGTCCACATTTCATATCCCTCTGCTCCGTCTGGAGGGGACTGGCCCATGCTCGTCCCAGGGTCAGGCCACGCTGGTAGCTTTGGCCACAGTACGACTGAGGAAACAGAGGCACACCACCCACTTGTACCTCCAGGCTCTCCGACGTCTGGTTCTAAGGTGACGTCAAGCCCTGGTGACGTCTCCCCTTAAAGAGGCCGTTCCTCAGTGCTACTACTTTGGAGAAACTGAAGGAAAGGTCAACTCCGAACCCAACGAGATGGGCTCACCCAGAGAGGACCTGCTCCCTCCAGCTCCTCTCCCTACCCTAAGCCAACCAGAGGGCTTGATGGCTGGATGTAAATCTGTCTAAAATAAACAGTTATTTTGTTTAATACTAGATACATAATAGGTACTACCATTTGTTTAAATGTCAGTTGGCAAAATAAATGAGTGACGTGCAGTGCACCTAGAGGCCTTCTTTGGTTCCTGGTTCCTAGGCACTGAGTTGCAGAACCTCTGTCAGGGTCCCCAAGACCACCCCCAGGTCTCCTCATTCACTGGGAGCACTTGGGACTCAGCCAGTAGTCAGTCGTACCCATGGCTATGGTTTATTACAGCAAAAGGATACACAGCAAAATCCACAGGAAATAAAGGTGCATGAGACGGAGTCCGGAGGGAACCAGGAGCCTACATCCAAGAGTCCTCTACCAGTGGAGTCATACAGGACGCACTTAACTCCTCCAGCAACGAGCCGTGACAGTGTGTGTGAAACACCCACCAGGGGAGCCCATCAGAGATGCCTGGGCTTTTCTTGGCAGCTGGCCACATAGCCACCCTCTGCCTGGCATGTACCAAAATCCCAGACTTTCAGAAGGAGGGCAAGTGCTCATCGTAAACTGCATTGTTTGTACAAACAGCCCCTCTTACCAAGGACTGGTGGGAACCCCCCCCCAAGCCAAGCTCTCTGATGCCAGCCTGGAGCACCCTGCCAGTGTCTCTAAGGATTTTCTGCATGGAACCTTAGGCCAGTAGCCATACCCTAGCCCATCTTCAGTTTACACATGAGGAAACTACAGAGACGATGTGTCTTGTTCAAAGTCTCAGAGCTCTGCAGTGGGCCAGCCAGGCCACAGCCCGGGTGTCGTTACTCCAGGGCCATGGCTCTCGTGACTGTTTCACGGAAGGCCTTGTGGCCAGATTGGTCAATTTCATTATTTTTTTTATATCGTTAAGTTACAGGTAACAGTAAAACTCATGAAAAACACTGATTACAAGATTGAGCTTTCTGTGCCATGGCACTTTGTAAACTCAGGGTCTGTCCATTTTAGATATAGTTATATTCAGAAAATGACCAGCCCGCCCATTGTAACATAAAATCTAGTAGCCCACTCTGTGCACTTCAGAAGTACATCCGGGGACAAAATTTGCATGAGCAGAGCAATCACAGCATTGTGAATGGGTAGAAGAAAGGCCTGACGGAAATTCAACAGACATTAACAAGGTCTGCAGACAGGGGAATCTTCTTCTTTCTGCATTTCCCTCTAAATTTTCTATGCTGAGAATGTACTATTTCAGAGTGGAAAAAAATTACAGTTAAAGAGTAAACTTTAGAAGAGACTGCCCCTCACACTAATACTCAGTCCTCAGGTCCCAGCCGTGGCCCTGCAGCGCCGTGGAATCACAGGACAGTCCCCAGAGAGCAGACTTGGTCCTCAGAGGGCACTGAAATGGGTTCAGCCCTTAGAAGGGCAGTTTGGAAATTTCTCATGGAATTCTAAGTGTGCAGTATTTTAAATGACTCAGCAATTCCACTTCCAGGAGTTTATCCCACGGGGAGGCTCATTCAAATGTGCAAAGATACACACAGGAATACCCCCTGCAACCGTGGTAGCCCTGGTGAAAGACGCCTCCCTCAGTGGGAGTCTGGTCGTTAGGGCACAACTGCATATTAGAATAGTGGGTGACCATAGGGAATGGACAAGCTCAGTGACCTCAAAAGAAAGACATTTATCTTCCATTGTTTATATACTGTTTGAGTTTCTTACAGTATGTTACTTTTAAAGGTATTCATTGTATATTTTTTAAAAGGTGTCTTAAATGACTGGCAAAACAGAACTGATTGGGCAGGGACGGGGGGTTATATTGGACTATATCACAGAATGTTAAATTTCCTGGGTATGATAATGGTGGTGTGATTGCATAGGGAGGTATTCTTGTGCTTAGGAGATACGTACTGAACTATTAGGTGTTGAAATGTCCTGATGTCTGCAGCAGACTTTCAGAATGTTCAGCAAAGTACGCCTGTGTGAGCGTATGTACAAGTGTCCACATGCAAGCGTGTGTGTGTGTGTGTGCGTGCAGTGCGTGGACAGAGGAAGAAGCAAAGTAGCACAGTGTTAACAACTGTTGCATCCAGGAGGAGGGTGTACAGATGTTTGCTTTGCTAGTCTCTTTTTATAAGGTTGAGATTTTCCAAAATAAAAAGTTGGGGGAAAAAAGAAAAGATTTTTGAAAATCAAGGAGCTAAAGGCATCTGAAAAACAAAGATATTATAAAGCACTATTAGAGAAATATTACAAGAGTGACTCTTTATCTCACCATATCCTTCCAAACAGAAACAGGTCCCTTTGCTGCACAGAACTTTATGCAGGATGCTGGTTAGCTGGGCTCTCTCAAGACCGGAAAGTGCTGGGCAGTAACCTTCCCCTTAAAAGATGCACTTAAGAAGGCATGTCTTTTCTCTCTTTCCTCTCTAGCTCTGCAAGGAGTCCGTGCAATGCTTCGCTGCTGCATGACAGCAGGAAACCAGCCAGCCTGATTGGCCAGGAGGTGATTCTTGTCATCTTTCTCCTGCTTTTGCTGGTCTGGTTCCTGAATCGAGAGTTTGAAGTCAGCTACCGCCTGCACTACCACGGGGACGTGGAGGCGGACCTGCACCGCACCAAGATCCAGAGCATGAGGGACCAAGCCGACTGGCTGCTGAGGAACATCATCCCCTACCACGTGGCTGAGCAGCTGAAGGTCTCCCAGACCTACTCCAAGAACCACGACAACGGAGGCGTCATCTTCGCCAGCATCGTCAACTTCAGCGAGTTCTACGAGGAGAACTATGAGGGCGGCAAGGAGTGCTACCGGGTCCTCAACGAGCTGATTGGGGACTTCGACGAGCTCCTGAGCAAGCCGGACTACAGCAGCATCGAGAAGATCAAGACCATCGGGGCCACATACATGGCGGCGTCGGGGCTGAATGCCACGCAGTGCCGGGATGGCGGCCACCCGCAGGAGCACCTGCAGATCCTCTTCGAGTTCGCCAAGGAGATGATGCGCGTGGTGGATGACTTCAACAACAACATGCTCTGGTTCAACTTCAAGCTCAGGGTGGGCTTCAACCATGGACCCCTCACGGCGGGCGTCATTGGCACCACCAAGCTGCTGTACGACATCTGGGGTGACACGGTCAACATTGCCAGCCGGATGGACACCACGGGGGTGGAGTGCCGCATCCAGGTGAGCGAGGAGAGCTACCGCGTCCTGAGCAAGATGGGCTACGACTTCGACTACAGGGGGACAGTGAACGTCAAGGGCAAAGGCCAGATGAAGACCTACCTTTACCCCAAGTGCACGGACAGCGGGATGGTGCCGCAGCACCAGCTGTCCATCTCCCCTGACATCCGCGTCCAGGTGGACGGCAGCATCGGTCGCTCTCCCACGGACGAGATCGCCAACCTGGTGCCTTCCGTGCAGAACCCGGACCAGGCGTCCCTGGGTTCCGATCACAACCTGCAGGCCAAGGACGTACACCTGACTTCGAAGAGACCCTGGAAGGAGCCCATCAAAGCCGAAGAAAGGTGTCGGTTCGGCAAAGCCATAGAGAAAAGCGACTATGATGAAATGGGGCTGGAGGAGACCAGCGAGCTCACCAAGCTCAACGTCTCGCAGAGGGTGTGACGCAGCCCAGTGCTGCCCACGGTGCTCTGTCCGTCGAAACAGCCGTCTCCGTGCTTGGCTGTTGTGTGTTCCAAGCGCCACAGTTCCCGTCCCCAGACGTGGTGTTGTGTGGTCGTTGCAGCCCTAACTTCTGTGTGGATCACAGTTATTCAGGGTTCATTTTCATCCAGTGTCTCTGTCCCACCTTTATGGCCCCTTCCCCTGCTGTGGTGTGATGTTTGTTGCTCAGAGAACAAGTGCCTTCGGGGGCTGGAGGCCTCGGGTCCGGGGAGGCGTGGCCTTGGGTGGTGTCCAACGTTGAAACAAAGCTGTGGTTAAGATGTTATTTTTATTGCTTTTTCTCACGGGACACTTTTTGTTTTATCCCTAATACAATGATTTTGAGGGTTTTTTTTTTCTGTATACATAATAGTGTTTTCCAGTGACCTGACCTTTCTATGTAAACACGCACACACACTTGCATTCATGAATCTGAGGTCAAGTGCCAGTAACTCACCAAGCGGGGATGCTTGGGGGTGGGGGTCGTGGGGCTGAGGTGCCCCTCCCCACTCGCACCTTCCAGGGCACGCGGGCCCCACGCCTGCGGCTTTAGGGCTTCCTGCGCCTGCAGGCCGAGATTCCAAATGCTAAACAGTGTCACAGCTCGGGAACCCAGGCCTCAGGGATCTCAAAGCCGTTTTCCATTCTGCCCCCGCCCTGAGAGGGTCTTCCATCTGGAGCAGAGGGGCTGTGACTCGTCCAAGAGGGGCGCACAAAATAAACATCCGAGGGTTGCGTTTATTTATTTATTTATTTATCAGGAACTGCGTGTGATTCGGGGAGGGTTGCCGGGGTAGTTGTGAAGGGAGTAGGCGGGAAAGGAGGGGTGGGCAAAGGCTCAGCAGGAGGATGAGAAGATGGTCACTCCTGCCTCAGCCACTTGGGGCCACCTCTCCCGCAGTTGCAGTTGGGGCTGAGTAGGCCCTAGGTGGGCCCCCCACCTGCATGCTCCAGGTCCAGGGGGAAGCCCTCAGTCACCATTTAAAAGCCCAATGCTCCTCTCCTGCCCTGCACCCACGAAGTCTCCCCATGGCTGGGTTGGGAGTAGAGCGTGGCTCTGCGGGAAGCTGGAGGTCTGGGCAGAGCAGCAGGGCCATGCCTTCCATTCTCTGCCTGGCAGGGCCTGCTGGTGGCAGGATTGAGCCTGGTGAGTGAATCCCAGCCCTCCTCAGATGGAGCTCTTACACTGTAAGTGGGGACAGATTCATCTGGACATAAATGTGTTGAAACCCGGGAAGTCACTTCTGTGCCCTTTGTTGCTAATCCTGCTTGTAATTACATTTGCCACGTTGAGTCTGGAGTTTATGTAGAGCTGTCCTCAGGCCAGGGTTGTCCAGTCACAGTCACATGACACCTTACAGCTCATGGGGTAACTTGAGGACCAGCTCCTTCCCTGTTTAAGGTCTTTACCGACATGCCCTGTGCATTTGTTTTTCACTGGTAAATCTCTGTGCAGCTTTCACATCTGCATTAAGTCCTGTTATCACTCCGCCTCACCAAACACATTCAGAATCTGGCCCTTCCAGCACCATGAAGTATTGATTCTGATCAGCCAGCTCCCTGGGCACGTGCGTGGGACGGCCACCCGGCAGGGCGGTCACAGCCAGGAGCTCGACGTCCAGGGAGGTCTGCCTTCAGGTTCCACTGTCAGATTGTTGGTCTTCCAGTGCCGGAGAATGGATGATTGTGACAATACCTCTTGCTTCTAAAGAATGTATTCTTCTAAAATACCACAGAATTTTTATTTCTATTTTTTCTTAGAAACACTACCTGATGCTCTCATCGTCTGTAAGGATCGTGGGCGCATCAAGGGTCCCTCCCAGCAGTATTCCAGTGGGTGTTGAGTATGGCCCCCTCCCTTGGCGCCTAGCTCCCGGCTCTGCAGCTTTGGTGGCAGCTGTGAGGGGCTGGGCGGTGGCCGATGAGCATCCACGTCTCTGCTATTTCTCTCACAATGCGCTCCACAAAGTTCACCTCTGCACACCCTTCCTCTCTATCAGACTCTTCTTTTCCCTCCTCTCCTGCGAAGATGTCTGTGATTCCTGACCCTTGGGAAGCTGAGGAGCTGCAGACGTGGAGAGAGAGTGGTGACATCTCGTGCGGTTCAGCACGGTGCAAACTGGAGCCTTTGAGGGACAGTTGAAATTGTCTTTTAAAAACACCCTGAGCCTTCGTAAGCAATCAGTACAGATTTCTCCCTGGGCCACCAGTGACTCGGGGCCTTCCCAGTTCCTGCTCGGAAGCATACCTCAGTGCAGAACCACAGAGTCCCTGCAGTGGCGGTGCTGGCCGTCTGACTGTCGGCATGGAGCAGACGGTTTCTGAAGACAGGCAGGCTTCTTGGCGGCGGGGTCACATGCTCCCGACTGACTCAGTGGATGCGTTCTTCAGAGCGGCAATACCTCCTGTGAACTTAGGGCAGGAAGCAATACTTCAGAATTGAATGTGTGTAAATAGTTGCTTTGAGTTGCAGTTGCAAATTTCTTCTCGGCCTCAGGTCAGATCAAATTATATATATAAAAACTACATATAAACAAGCACACGTAATTGTATCTAATGCAAACAAATGCAGAGCATCCGTTAGGAAACCCTTCCGGAGCTTGGAGGGCCACCCAGATTATGCAGCACCCGCCCACAGCTCTGTCACCCTGACTGCACCGCGGAGACACCTGCACATTTGCACTTGACAACGGAGAGCCAGAGGGCCGCGTGCTTCCCGTCACGTGGGCTGTAGGGATGCGTACTTTCCAAAGACCTGTCCGCCTTTGCATTTCTAGATTTTTGAGGTAAGCACTTTTTGGTGATTGTTTTGGGAAATCACTTCATGCCTAGAATCTGAAATCAGCGAGAACCAACTGTTTGTGTTCTCCATCTTTCCTTTGCTCTTTTTAAATTGTTCATCCTAATAATTTCAAAGTGCATCCACTGAAGAAATGGACATTAAAATACTCTAAAATCTCAATATTTGATGCCTTGTATTTCCTCATTAATAAGATCGGTACCGCGCCAGAGGTTCGAGCATCCCTGGTTCCCTGCCATTTGTGGCCAGAACAGGAGGATTTGTAGTTGTTGCACATCGAGATTTTGAAAACAAGGCAACTTAAAACCCTGTTGTTTGTGTGTGTGTGAGTTTTTAATGGACATACTTGCTACAGTTAGAAGTATTTATTTTTACGTGAAACTTAGCAAAAGCAGGTTACAGGACAAATTTTGCTTGCAACCACATCTCAGTTTTACTAGGCTTTCTAGTTTTCCCCCCACAATATTAAGAGAAGGAATTAACTGAGAAAATGAAATAAGTTTTCTGAAAAGATACACCTATGTAGCCTCTCCCGCAGAGTTCCTGGGTTGCCCGTATCAAGGGGGAGTCACAAACCCATCTTGCAATCTGTTTAAAGTCACAAAGCATCTTCCCAGAAAAACACACATGCCATCTGTCCTGTCACAGAGATTCACAACACCGCCAGGTCCGGAGCCAAACCACAGCTCTGCTAGACATTAGAGCGCTCCCCCCACCCAGGGTCTCTCCCGGCGAGTCCAGTATTTAGGTGCAACTTGAGAGCACAGGATCCTTTTGTTGACTCAGCGAAGGGAGAGGCAAATGTGGCCCCAGGCCGTGTCCATCCCACTTCTAGGAGATTCTCTGCTGGAAGCTGGTGCCATTGAGGACATTACTTGTTGACGAGGGCTCTCTTTCCTCCGAGTCTGCGCTGCAAGCATCCCTAGGAACGTCTCAGGAGATCAGGGAACAGCGGCCCTTGCTGCGTCAAAGGTCTCTCTATTGAAAAGGGGCCCCGCGGGGACTTCAGAACGTTTCTCAGTTAGGAAGGGCAGCCTCTAATTTTTGCAGTAAGCCTCAGGACTTAGCATTTGTGGTTTCTCTTTCATCTAAAACCTCTTTCGCACGTGGTTGCTTTTCTCTGCCGTGGGAGCCTATCACTGTGGCCGCCTGGAATAGATCCCAAGTGCCAGGGAGAGGAAGCTAACTGGGAAAGAGATAAGTGAGAGGAAGTGATTAAGAAAAAGTACACACTTGCACACCATGTACGCATAACCTCAAAATCTCCCCACGTCTATTTTTATGCTGTTCCTTTGTAAAACATTCGTGTGTGTGTGTGTTTATAACATGGCTCTGAAGAGTTATTACTGTATAGTAGAGTAACTTAAGCTTGGGGAATTCTCAGATTCCTGCTGGGCCTGGAAATCAGAAGGAGGAAGGAATTACGCAGTCATGCATTGAGCCATCTGCCTCCTGAAATCTCAGTCATCGACAGCAGCCATTCTTAACCTTTCTTGCAGGAGGCTCCCAAAACCTTTGATAACTTTATGAAAGTTGTGGCTCCTTTCTCCAGGAAAAAAAAAAGCACATTAAAAATAAACCTACTCAGTGTTCCTGGATCCAAATCAAATACCCATGACCTGGAGTGGTGATTTTTAATGATAACTCTCTGCTAGTGAGGTTTCCAAGCATTTCTAGACTCTCCATTGGAAACGTGATTAAACAGGTCAATGCTACTTATTTATATACGCATTTCCAATCCAACTGTAGTTTAGAGTTTAGTGTCGGAGCTGCCTCAGTACATCTGGAGAGCCATTCAAAGGACTTTTCAATATAAAGACAAAGTTAGTTGGATTCTTTTCAACGGAGAAGTAATGTTCAGGCAGTGTTTACTGAGGACCTACTCCGTGCCAGAGCTCCTTTTACTTAGGTGGTTACAATGCTGGGATGCTTGAGAAGATCTGACTAGCAGCTGTGATTAGATACTGTTTTTTTGTGATGGCTCTACCGTTAGGAATTCCAACAGGAAGCTGAAGGGAATTTCAGATATCCCTGTCCTTGTTGACTTTTTTGAAGAGTGGCTTCCTTGATGTCATCTGTAGCCCGTTAGATTATTTTCATGTTCATGGTCTTATGAAGTATTCACTCTCAAGAAAGAGCAACAGATGAGGACCAATATTGTGTTGGTCCCTCCAACACACGTGGTCATACATTTTTATTTCTAAAACAATCCTCTCCTGATGATGACTGGGGTCCCAGCACAGGCTCGGAGCTGAGCAGAACGAGGCACGGGCTCGCACTGGTCGGGCTGCTGGGAGCCTCTCGGGAGTAACACGCCCAGTGAGGCGTCTGCCGTGTCTGTCTCCGGGAGAACGGCTGGTGGTCAGAGGACCAGGGTCTCGGCCAGCCCCTCACCTTTCTGTGCCGGCTGCCGGCGGGCAGCAGTCTTCTCGGACCTGCACTTCCTCTGTCTTCTTTTGACCTTCTTGATCTTCTCAGCAAACAGAATTCCTGCCCTCTAGGTTGGAAGGGTGAGGAATGATATCAGAAAGGAGGAACTGCTCAGACTTGTCCATGTGATTCTGGGGAAAGGAGCAGGATGGGAGTGATGTGGACACACACACACCCCTCAGGCTCCTTTGGGCGTAGACATCCTCGCACCCAAGGCAGACCTCAGTGGCTCCCCACGCCCTCCCTTCTTAGGGCCGCCATCTCGAACTCTCCACAGCTTCCCGGCCTCCCCAGCTCTGGTCTCTGTTCCTGGACAGCCACTCCTCTCCAAGGACACTTGTGCCTCCCTCCTCTCCACTTGTGGCCCCGTCCCCCACATCCCACCATCACCTTTAACCTCCCAAGAAAGTTTCAGTGCTGGGCCACCTGACTCCCAAACTTGAGGAATACAGAGACCCACAGCAACACGATGAGCAGACACTGTTGATTTAAAGAAAGTAACTCTTAAGCTGCTAAATTCAGTTCTCCCACATGCCAATATGCCTCAGCACATAAAGCAGCCTTCTTCCAAGACATTCAGAACATCTGGAACCCCTTCTGTCCTCATGATGCCTCACTGAAAGCAGAGGTGTCTTTTTCTGTACAACAGATTCAAGGCTCAGGTTCAACGTAGCCGAGCGGCTGGTCCCCGCTCCGCCAGTTGTTGCCAGGGGTTCCCAGCTACGTAGCCAGAAGACGGCGCCTGCTGCCAAAGCCAAACCATCTCCCGTCTTGGCAGCTCCCGTCCTTTGCAAGGAAAGAACACAGCATCCAGGTGGTGGAATGGGACATTGTGCATTTAAATTGTGAGATCAGACAGCAGGGCATTTAAAAAACTTCTGAGCATTATACATGTTCAGTATAATGACCACATGTACAGCAAGTGACCGCCAAGACAAACATGTCTTCCGTTCTCTCCCTGTCCCCTTCTTGTAAGACCAGCTACTTGGATTACGTGTGGAAGGTTTAAGTTATTGTCTAATGTCTGCTTGGACTGGAGAAGTGCAGTTACTCAGATGTCCATGTGGACTTGTGCCGTGTGCTGACCAAGACCATCAGGGAATTGAGACAAGATTTGTAACACGCCGATGCCTTCAGAATGATTAGTGAGAAACAGATTATGTCGGGAACCTGCACGTCCTGCTAAGTAACAGAAGTAGATTGTATACCTTTAACACAAGGTCAGGTTTTTTTTCCCCCCAACTGTTGATTACACCATAAAATGTTTATTATGTATAATGTTCAGTAGTTTTTTTTAAATGCCCTTATACACCTGTACATCTCCAGAATTTCAGGGTAGTATTTGAGGGGGAAAAGTCCTAAATATTCCTTGGTCACTTAACTTGAAATATCATAGAGCATAATTTACAATTTCCACGCCAATTTGGGGATCTTGGGTAAAAAAACGATTTTGTTGACTATTTACAAAGGACCAAGGAAGCCAATAGTTTGCTTTTTAGAAGGAGGTCTTACAACGTGGTAGGTTGGTGAAACGTTTCTTTGGTAATTTTGATTTGCCAGAACAATCTCTCTTTTTGCTCAACAGTAAAGACTTCTGGCGGCATCACAGATATGCTTAGAGTGTTCATTTAGCACAGGAGAATGTGGCTAAACGTTGTCCTTAGTCTCCTAGTTCTGTTGTTAATTGCATGATGTGTTGTACTTTCCAAAAATTTTAGTCAAGGACTTCCAAAGACTTCTCAAGGTCCTAATCTACTGTGATATCTGGAGAGCTTTTGGATTTGGTTGGTTGGTTGTTTTTTAATATTGAAGAATGTGATTTGTATGAACTTTCAGAAAATTGATTCAATTAAACTCCAAATCTAAGAAGATAAGGTAAAACTATTTGGGGAAAAAAAGGATTTAAAGCAGTTATCCAGATAACTTAGGATAAAAGCATCCTTTTGTGTGAAATATCTCAGGTGAGACAAAATTAATTTATTGCATGAATCACATGGATAGTGATCCAAACCTTCAGCTCACTTTTCTTAACCATGGGCCACTTCCATCCCTTCAGCGTCTCATTTCCAAGTTTCCTCGTCTTCTGCCACCGCCCATCTGGTTGGCAGAATTACAGCAGGCTCAGACCTTTGTGCTCCGAGAGAAAAGCTAGCGAGTTCCTGTGAACCAGCCGCTTGGTGGGCACCGGGACTCCGAGAGTTTGCCTGTGCTCCTGACGGGTGGCTTCTGTTACTGTCGCGAACACAAGCCCTCGGGCATCTGTGCTCTGCCAGCACCAGCATCCCCATCCCACGTGTCCTGCGACAGTCTGGCAGCCAGCAGGAGACTGGTCATTCCTTCCGCTCACCCCTCGGAAGTGCAAGAAGGCAGCCTCCTGGCACCACCGCGGGGCGCCAGCCCTCCTAGTGCCTCTTTGGCTTCTTGGTGGACTCTGGTGACCTTCACGCTCTGCTGGGGATGCTTTTTCTGGTCTGTGCCTCATGCACAGGCCCAGCCTGAGACGCTCCAAACCCCTCACCATAAACTGCCACCAGGTCCCGGGCAAACCCGTGGCACCCACCACCCTTCAGAAAAACATCTGCAAATTCCTTCTGGTTTTAGCTCCAAGAAGCTGCCAGAGCTGCAAGTGGGGAGTCTGGGCTTGATCCAGGCTCACAGAGAGGGCCTTCACCCCTCCAGTCCTGGGCTGGCCCAGGCAGCCGCAGGCTAGACTCTCAGACCAGCGTGGAACCCA